CTGGCGTCCGTGAAGTTATTTGCAAGGTTGATAGATCATCAATCACTACTTTGCATAGACCGCTGGGCCGATCACTTCCATTCTCAATTCAGTTGGCCTCCTCACTCCTCCTGTCTAACGAGCACGCCAAGTTGTGTGACTTGGAAGATTCCACGTAAACTGCCCACTGGAGTGGTTTGTCGTGCGCTCCGTCACTTGAACAAATTCAAAGCTACTGGCTCAGACGGACTTCCTCCAAGGCTGTTACAGTATGGTGGCTGTGCAATTGTCAACAAGTTAACAGCTCTGTTCTCGAAGATATGCTGTGAAGAAAAGATTCCATTCTTTTGGGGCGAATCGATAATCGTGCTAATCTTCGAAAAGGGTCCTCGTACCTCATGCGCCAACCATAGAGGCACCAGTCTAATATGTCTCGCATCCAAATTGCTAATATTGATTCTGCTACGCAATCTAACACCGATTCGATGTCAAAAGTGCATTCGATTCGGTGGATAGACGAACTTTGAGATTGTCTACTCAGGAAAGGTGTACCTGAGAAATATGTAAAAACTATCTGAGTATTATATGCGTGTAGCTCGGGCAGAGTGAGGGCTTACGGCAAGTTGTCGTCGCCCATTAATATCTCCGGCGGCGTGAGACAAGGATGCCCTCTTCAACTTGGTTATTGATGAAGTGATGGAAATTCCTTTCACAAGACACGAACTAGCTGTGTATCTGCTCCCAGGAGAACGACTACTTGACTTGGAGTATGCTGACGATATTGCCCAAATCTGTGACAGCTCCCAGACGTGCCAAGTGGCCCTGGACAGATTAGCACTGGCTGTCCGTCACTTCGGACTTTGCTTTACACATCTAAGTGCAATGCGTCCCTCCAAGAATGGCCTGAACCGCCTCCTACGCTGACCGTTGGTGGGGATCAGCTAGAAGTCGTTCAAAAGTTCAACTACCTGGGAAGTGGTATCAGCTTCCCTTTGGGATTGAAGAGGAGATCACGAACCGTATGGTAAAAGCTCGAAGCGCTTTTGCTAACCTTCGCCACATTATGGCGCCCGCGCGACATCACTCTTGCCCTGAAGGGTAGAGTGTACAATGCAGTGGTACGTTCGACCCTACTGTACGGTTGTGAAACCTGGCCGCTTAAAGCAGCGGATCTGAAGAGGCTAGTTAAGTTCGACCACCGGTGCCTTCGTAATTTAGCTCACATTTGGTGGGAACACCGCGTGAGCAACAAGCGTGTTCGACGCCTTGCTTACGGAAAAGGAAAAGGAAATGAACCGCTCAGCACCGTTATTTCACGCATCAGGCTCCGATGGCTCGGCAACGTGTTACGCATGCCAGCCCACCGACTTCCGCGACGTGTGTTGTTTGCGCGCCGCGGGTGTGCATGGAAGAAGAGGAGGGGTGGCCAAGCGATGACTTGGTCCAGAGGAATGAAGGTCCTCACTTCTGAGGTGGCCTCAGTTGGAGCGTCTCGGCTCCCTGGTTGGGGTCCGAAAGACGATGAACACGTTTGGTTGGACACACGTGCTGATATGGCTAGGAGCCGACGTCAATGGCGTTCGTGCTGTTAGTTTCTTTGTCCCACCCCATCCCTCTTAGCTTCCCCACCAACCACGATCTCATTATTTAGCTTTATATAATTTTGTATAGTAATTTTTTTAAATGCACAGTAGCCGGCTGGAAGCTTACCGGTACGATGCCCATCCGTTACCGGTAGCTCAGCCGACTTGCACCAGTTGCGTTTTTCTTCTCCTTTTTTCTATGTATTGCGGCACAGTAGCAGAGGTGTTCCCCACCTCTAGCCAACGTGTATGATGATGATGACCCCAGTCGAGGGTGTATGGAGCACATGGTTACACTCCGCCAACTTCTCGAGCAGCCCGACCTTTATCGCCAGCCTACTATTGTCGTCATTTTGGACATCCTAGCTGCGTTTGTCTCGGTCGACCGGCTTCCTCTATGGAGTTGGCTGCAAATGAATGGGGTACCAGAGAATTATGCCATCATGCTTTGAGCTTTGAACAATGATTTTGTGCGGGTTAAGAAGCATTGCTTTACAAGCCCCGTTGGCTGATCTGATGGGTTAGCGATAAGCGATACTGAAAAATGCAGTTAGTAGTTTTACTGTCAGTAGAATGGACTTATCGTTTTTAATTCAGGAGCCCTGCACTCCGAGTGTTTCCGTAGCTTCAATAAGCGAGAAATGTAAATCCAAGGTATTTCCCGGGAGTCGGATGGAGAGTAGTATCAATTAACAAAATGTAAGTGGCGGAGTGCGTCATCCAACCCACTATTAAATATGGCTAGCCTGAGTGCTGAAACAACCAATTCGGGGAGAGCGTTCCATGGTTGACACACACGAATGGAAAAGCAACTTCTAAGGCACTCCAAACGGCTGTGTTGTGCTACTAATTTCAAGGAATGGCCTCTAACTTTGGTCTTACTGCTGAGTTGCAGTAAAGAGTGGCACACATACTTTGGATTGTGTACAATCAAGTATGCCATTATCAAGTCACCTCGTAGTCGGCGGTACTGCATGCTCAGTACTCCCAGACATCTCAGCCAATGCTCGTATGGATGGTGGCATATTCCAATGAGGTATTTAGAAGCCCGATGTTGAGGATAGTCCAGTGCAGTAACGTCGTGCTTCAGCTATGACTGCCAGGCTTGGACTATGTATTCGACATGGGGAGGAACATACGCATTCAGCATTTGCCTGAAAATAGTTGTGCCTAACTGGCCGAACACCAGTCGTAGCAAGCCGACTTGCAGGTTACCAGTTTTCCATGCATTTACGGATTGCTTGAAACAAGTCAAGTTATTTTGAACAAGCACTCCAAGGTCGCGTTTGACGGATGATCGCTGCAGTACTTACGTTCCTAGCTTGTAGGAATAGGTATTCTGGTGTCCCATGGAGAGTACCTTGTAATTGCTCACGTTGGACTGTAAAAGATTTCGGGTTGACCAAGCATGTACCGTATCTAGGTCACACCGAAGTAAGTGCTGGTCGACGTCCGTCTGAATCCAGTGCCGTAGCTTGATGACGTCACTAAACAGCAGGAAATTTGAAGCCATATTCCGTTCAAAGTCATTGTTGAACACCAAAACAAGCGTGGACCTAGAACTGAGCCCTCGGCACACCAGACTCGACTGGTATGGGTCAGATAAGGAACTCCGAACTCTCACTACTAATTGTCGTTGCAGGAGAAAGTTGGCGATCCAGCTCAAGAGAGGGTTACTCATCCCGTAATACGGGAGCATCTGAGGAGAGTCCGATGATCTAAACGACCGAACACCTTCGACAAATCACTTCGACGGCCTCTCCCACGTCAGCTGACTAGGCCTAACTATTCCGCCCGATTAATAAATTTGTCCTGCGCGATCGCTGTCGACGAAAGGCGCATAACTCGGGAGGGATAATATTACACTTTCATAGATAACACACTAACGCATCGTCAACGATGGATTATGTGACCATGGATAATACAGGGAGAAAGGACACTGCGCGGTAGTTTGAAGGCTCAGTCCTGCTTCCACCTTTGTGAATCGGAGTTAGTATTCCAAGTTTCCACATCACACGTATTTGGTTCTGGTCTAAGCAGTGCTGGCAGAACAAAGCCGAATGTTTAGCCGATTGTTTTGCTGTTGCTCCCACTGCCTCTGGGTGAATGGAGTGGAATCCCGGGGAGCTGTGGTTGCGCAGAGAAGTTAGCGTCCACAAAATAGCTTCGGCAGTAAAAGAAATGTGGGTGAGTCCTAGAGGCTGAAAAACAAATATTGGAAGATGGACTGATGGTAAGACCCTGTGAAACCTGGGAGTATATTACGTCCGCAACGCGCTTGCTGGTTCTTTGTCATAGTTGGACTGTCAGTCCTCTGGGGAGGAGGGATTCCCTGCCTCGCCTTACGATGTCTCTTTGACATACTTGTACACCAGTTTGTGCTTGACGCTGAACGTTTTCACCATATTCTGCTTATATGCCACTTTGTCATTTCCGAGCAGTTGAGTGCAGTGGTTACGATGGGCTACGTAGCTGTCCCAATTATCTGGCGTTTGTGATGATCTGTACCCTCGCCAGCCTGCGTTGCGTATAATCGTCCATTTTCTAGTTCTGCTCCACACGGTGGCCAACCTACCAAGTGGTCTGCCGGTGGCCGAGTAATCTGCGCGTCTAGTTTGCAACCGTAAGATCACCGGTTCGAATCCGTGTAGGGGTGGGCGCCCTTAATTTATACTCAGCGTGCGTGCGACTGGTGATGGTCGCGTTGCAGCGCAGCGCCGTTAAGGCGTACAGCTGGCAATTTAATTTTTATTTCTAACACATGGCGACACAACGTCAGGGCGCTGATTTCCCGTCTAGCTGTTGTCGACCCCATAGGTCTTCCGGGTTAAGAATCAAAAGATGAAGAACATCGCTGGATTTGGGACACTTGCGGAAATGGCGCGTAACTGCGAACAGTGGAAGACTTGCATGATTCTTTGTGTTGATTCTGATGACAAACTGACAAAAAGAGACAAAAGTACATGTCCGTTTTCAACTTTTTCAATCTTTATACCTGTTAAACGCGTTCATTCCATGGATTTTTCGATGGCTCGACATCTGCTGTGTGGAATGCTGCAAATATATATATATATATATATATATATATATATATATATATATATATATATATATATATATATATATATAAGGTATATGTTGGCAGTGTGCGATTAGCCACCTCTGGTAAACGAAAACACTTACATTGCACCAAGCTGCCACCCAGTTGGTTCACAAGTAAACAATGGAGTTGGAATAAAGATACGTCCTTGTATAACATAGTAACTCTGACCTGTACCTAGGGGTACGCTACTTTAGTTCACTTAAGTGTCGAGTTCTTTCTATTCACTAGGTTGTGACACAAAATAGTGAAGAGGAGGACTACACTACTGCATAAAATGGTAACTAATAATCAAACCAAAGCTGAATGCCTAGATAAATGAAAAGTACGTGACATACCTTTAAAGTGAGGACGCTGTCAATCAGAGGGCTAAAGATGTTGCATGGGTTATCCCATATTTGCTTTGGAAATGAATAGTCCACAGGCACATTCTCGCATGCGGAGAGGGGAATGCGGTCGTGGTTCTTTCTGACGGATTGAGTACAGTGTATTCGACCATGTGCGATCCATTTATCTTCTAAATGCACCACATTTTCGGTTTCGATTGAGCTCTTACGAACTGGGAGTAGTTTAACCTCTTTGTCGTGAATTTCGTAGAGAGTCGGTAAAGTGGGTGGACCGTAGACAAAGTTAACTTTGAATTCGTCTTTGTTAAAGCACTGACCAGCGCCTGAAATACCGATTACCTCACACTTGAACGTTCCAGAAAGATACTCCGTCTGCGCCTCGATGAGACATAATAAATGCTTCAGGAACTGTTCATACTTTACGTTTGGTTCCAGTAAAAGTTCCGATTTCATGAATCGAGGTGCTCGAGAAAGTAGATGCGATTTTTGTCGTTTTGGCCTAACTTCGGTGCCCAGAGATGAGTAGGCGGAGGTGTTTGTGACGGAATTTCGATCTGGGATGGAAAGTGTTTCTCTTTCATTATCTGGATGCTCTTCCTTGTGTGTTAACCGAGGTGGAACTGCGCTAAGCAAACAGGTGCCCCAAACGCAGTGCACTGAGGTTTGGAGTGTTCGGGAGTCCTGCTTTGGTGTGACATCGAAAGGTTCATAGCTATCCGAAGTTGTCAAAGCGGATACAGATTTACTTAAACCACGTGATAGCTGTGTGATGGGCGTTGGTTGAATGCTTTTTGAGGGTCGCCGTTCAGTGTATTTAGACCTGCGCTCTAAAATAGAAAGAAGTTAGTGGGAATGAATCTGGATAGAGTTGTTAAATGTCTCACACACATAAGACAAAAGCAATAACGTTGATCTCAGCCTCGCAAACCGATTGTCACATGTTCGCCCAGAGGTCAATGTGATGAGTGATTCGGACTGGATGGAACAAACACACATGCAGATGCACGCACCCACATGCACCCACACACACACACACACGCCTTGCGCGTGGGGAGGACGACATCTGATCAGTCGTTGAGTAAACTTTATCCGATTCGAACATACTTTTCCAATCATGAGCTCCGGATAAAGTTGATTACGAAGAACAAATCACATTGTCAATCATGCGGGTCAGGGTTGTGAGTAGTTGGGCTATATGCAACCTTTTACAGAGAAATGAAAGGACAGTGGCTGCCAACTTGTTACTAGCTAGGGAGCTAGGCGAAACAATCCCAAAGATACTGATACACGGTAAGTTGTCGTGTTTTCCATTTTCTCCAAACAGAAGTTGAAGGTGGTCTACCACAGTATCAGAGAAATATAACCAAGCCCCAGTCGTAGTTTCCCAGAACAAACAGTGTTGAACAGACAGATTGGACATCACCAATGGCATTTTTTGATCTAGGTAGTGATTCGTAGGCGGGAGAGCCTGGGGTGCACTAAGCCCGGTAGTGGTTAGATCCTGACAGATGGTCTACCCACTGCTGCTACTGTTGTGCCATGGTCTCATGTCCTAGACGTCTCCTCGTGGCGACAGCTGGGTGGGAGTTGGGTTGCGCCCTTCTACCTGCTAATATCCAGGACACCAAACTGCATGAGCCAGTGAAGTGACCATGTGCTAGACCCGCTGCACTTCGGGTGTATATTTAATCGAAGGCTTTGGCTGAGGACCCGAGTCGTTCTCCTGTCAGGTGTGGGCGCCCTGCCAGTATCCTACTACATCCTTTTCGGAGGTTCGAAAGTGGTCGATGACCCTCTTCCCATAAAACCTAGCTATAGGAGACAACAAGTCTACGGGTTATGAGCTCACAGCTCGTTTGGCGTACAGCACGAGCGACACGCATTTTCTCTGACGGTGCAAGGACACCTCCGGGTGTTCAGTGGTTTGCTACTGCCCGCCTCAAGCCAGGCAGCCCCTGGTCAAATTGGTTTAAACCCACCAAAACCCACCTGCTTCTGGCCGTGGTCGCGGGTGCGTATCCTACAACGGTCGCAAAACATATATAAATCATTCCAGTACCTCAAAGGCTGCGTGTGACGGCCGTCAAGCAGATTCCAACCTGTCTCTGCAATCACATTCCCGAGCTGGATCTGCTCCCCACTGCCCTGTGGATCAGGCTATCAAACCAAAGGCTCCGGGCGGAGTCCCTCAAGCAAACCTCCAAACCACCCAGTGCTTTGTGGGACAGGCTATTGAGCCAAAGTCTCAGGGTGGCGTCCCTCAAGAAAACGGAAGCACATCCACCGCGTCGCGTGTGATTGTTTACCAATACAATCGCGTGCCTGCGCGCAAATCACTCAGCATCGGGTGCTGGAACGTGCGCACACTACTGGACCGGAACTCCAGTGAGCGCCCAGAGCGACGCATTGCACTAGTCGTCAAGACCTGGCGCGCTACTACATCGATATTGCGGCGCTCAATGAAACCCGGCTCACTGAGCAGGGTAAGTTGCATGAAGCAGGTGTTGGCTACACATTCTACTGGGTGGTTAACGCCACCTCAGCACCACGTGAACATGGGTTCGGATTTGTTATATCCGATCGCCTCCATGGCCAGCTGGTGGGTGAACCAACAGGCATCAGCGCGTGACTGATGACTGCTCGCTTACGACTCGGAAGAGGTAAGTTTGCCACTCTTGTAAGTCCGTACGGTCCGACCATGTATTATCCTGGTGACTCGCCTGATCAATTATACACTTACATAATCTCAGTGATACGGTCCGTGCCCAGGAGCGACCGACTATTTCTGCTGGGTGATTTCAACGCGCGCGTTGAGCGTGATGCATCCGTGTGGACAGATGTTAGCGGTCCGCATGGCACTGGTCCAGCGAATGTGAACGGTGACAGGCGGCTCCCACTCTGTGCCTCTCACGGCCAGATACTCGGTTTGCACTGCGTGCGAGTGGGATAGCAACTTGGACGCACCCACGGAGTGGTCACGCTCACCTGCTCGACTGTCATCGTACGTCAGCGTGGTAGACATGAAGTGCGCATGACCCGTGTACTGCGTGAGGCTGAGTGTGGCACTGATCACAAATTGGTGCGGACCAAAGTGTAGATATATTTTCGTAACTCTATGTATTGTACTCCTGCCGTGCACCGGCGTAAATTTAACATTCTCTGCCTCGGTACTGTGGAGAAACGTATTGTTTTGGAGAAGGCGATGGCTGCACGTTGTGTGATGTGGACTGCATAGCCGCAGTGGGCGAACTGCAACACCACATTCATCATCAGGTGACAGCTGCTGCCACGATGACTATCGGGCGCGCAAACTGTAAGCGGCCTGAATGGTGTGATGGGAACAATGTGGCGGTTGGCGCATTGGTGTGTGAGAAAAATGCAGCATTTGCTGCACATATGGCAGACCCCAATGACTTTGGGAAGAATAGTCAGTTACACAAACTTTGACGGTGACTGACCCGAGAGATCCGTCGCATGAGAAATGCATGGTGCACGGAGAAAACGAAGCAGATGGAATGCTATGCGGAACGCCGCCAACTCAAGGAGTTGTTTGACTCTTTGAAGGCGGTATATGGACCGATGTTGAAGCCGCTGAGGACGCTGATCGATGGTCGCTCAGGTGCTACCTGCACACAGACTGCAGACATAATGCAGATCCGGTAAAAACACTTTGATTGTCACTTGAACAACCGTTCAGAGATCGACTGGCCTACACTGAACGGCCTGAAGCAGTATGAGGTGAATGCGAGTGTGGCGGACACGCCGACCCTGGATGAGACGCACACAGCACTTGCACAGCTGCGAAACGTCAAGTGTGCCGGGGTCAACGGGATCTCGCCTGAAGTATTGAAACACGGCGGACCCGCGTTGGTGACTGCGCTACACCATTTGGTGCAACGCATACGGATTGAGGAGGAGGTGCCTCCTGAGCTGAACGATGCCCTTGTGCTACCACTGCACAAGCGCCAAGGAAGCAAATAATGTCGCACGATTTATCGTGGCATCACCTTGCTGAGTTGTGTGGGCAAGGTGATTGCCCAAATCCTGCTCAACCGCCTCGTCAATCAGATTGTGCAACCGAACGGGGCGGAAGAGCAATGTGGATTCCGTTCGGGTCGCATCACCATAGATAAGGTGTTTGCGGCTCGTCAGTTGCAAGATAGGTGCAGAGAACGACACCAACCGTTGTACACGCTTTTTGTTGATCTCACCAACGCATTTGATACGGTGAAGCGCGAGGCATTGTGGCTGGTTTTGGGTAAGTTTGGTTGTCCGCGTAAGTTTGAAAGTTAAATTGAATGTTTGCACAGTGGTATGCGGGCCAGGGTGCAGCTGAATAGAGAGATCTCGGATGACTTTGCAGTTGTCTCTGATGTGAAGCAAGGCTGTCTTAGCTCCTGCCCTGTTTAATAGGTGTCTTCATGCAATGATGTCTTGTGCTTTTGATGCCGCTTGTGCTTACGGTGTTCATGTAGAGCACCGTATTGTTCGTGAGTTGCTGAATATCCGTCGTTTCGGTGCGAGACCCTAGTCTGTGAGACAACTATCCATATGTTGCTGTTTGCTGACGACTGTGCGTTGTTTGCACACAACGCAAATGAGTTGCAGCACATGACTGGTGCTCTGGCTTCGACAACGGCCAAATTCGGGCTCACCATCAACACAATCAAAACAGTCTGTCTCTTTTAGCCTTCATCGGTGGTGCAATCTTCAATATTACCGCGAATCAGCATTGGTGCTGAAGTATTGGAAACCACCTCCCGCTTCTGCTACCTTGGGAGTGTGATGTCGACTGACCAGAAGCTACACAGTGAGCTGCGTATTCGCGTCTCGAAGGCAGCGGCGGCATTTGGGAAGCTTGAGTACCGAGTGTGGAACAACCATCAGCTTACCACTGCACGAAGCTGATGGTGTATAAATCCATGGTGCTGTCCGTTCTTCTATCCGGCACTGAAACGTGGACCATGTACCGGCGAGATGTGCGATATCTCGAGCGGTTCCATCAAAAGTGTTTCGATGAATTTTGCGCATCGGTTGGGGCGACAGAGTTGCGGACACGGAACCGTTGCGACAAAGTGGAATGTATGCAGTGGACTGCATACTTTTGCTGAGGCGCCTGAGGTGGTTCGGTCATGCGAGCCGTATGGATCCGACGAGGATACCGGAACAACTATTATATGGATAGCTGAGTCTTAGGAAGCGGCATGTGGGGAAACTGTATTTACGTTACCAGGACATGATCAAATTGAGCCTCTGACGTTCTAATCTTGATTGGATGTCATGGGAATCGAAGACGGTTGATCGGCGTGCATGTTGAGATCTAATCACGAAGACAGTTGTCGAAGTGCAGGAGAAAGAGCTCATACATGAAGAGAAGAAGCGGTAGGTGCGGAAGCGGCAAGCACCGATGGGTTGTTCTCCATCGACATCGAGCGCATGGTGCCGTAGCACATGCGGTCGCGAGTGCCTGAGTCATGCAGACCTAGTGAGCCATGAGCGTGGCCACTCGGGACCACCACCGAAGCGACGACGGGTCCTGCAGAGAAGGTATGCAGAACTGGCGCAGTGTTTGTAGGTACGCTGCATTCGATTTACTAACCGCGTGCTTGCATGCTGAGTCTCCTTATTTCAGGTGGTGGGTTTGCTATATTCTCATATTGCTTTTTTATCTCATATTAATGTCTACCTGAACTACCTTCTATATACTTGTACAGTTCCTTAAACGATTTTAGTCAACTTCGATAACATTTTCTCGTTCGTGGCATTTTCTTAAAATATATTTTCGGACGCCCTGAACTTATCGGGAATTTCTTCGTAACCAACTCAT